TGTGTGGCAGAAAACTAACACTGCACATCACTCTGAACACACCATCCCCACTGTCAAATATGGTGGTGGCAGCATCATGCTCTGGGGGTGCTTCTCTTCAACAGGGATAAGGAAGCTGGTCAGAGTTGATGGGAAGATGGATGGAGCCAAATACAGGGCAGTCTTGGAAGAAAACCTCTTGAAATCTGCAAAAGACTTGAGACTGGGGCAGAGGTTCACCTTCCAGCAGGACAACGACCCTAAACATAAAGCCAGGGCAACAATGGAATGGTTTAAAACAAAACATATCCATGTGTTAGAATGGCCCAGTCAAAGATCTAAATCCAATCGAGAATCTGTGGCAAGATCTGAAAACTGCTGTTCACAAACGCTGCCCATCTAATCTGACTGAGCTGGAGCTGTTTTGCAAAGAAGAATGGGCAAGAATTTCAGTCTCTAGATGTGCAAAGCTGGTAGAGACATACCCTAAAAGACTGGCAGCTGTAATTGCAGCAAAAGGTGGTTCTACAAAGTATTGAATCCGGGGGCTGAATAATTACGCACACCCCACTTTTCAGTTATTTATTTGTAAAAAAATGTTTGGAATCATGTATGATTTTCGTTCCAATTCTCACGTGTACACCACTTTGTACTGGTCTTTCACGTGGAATTCCAATAAAATTGATTCATGTTTGTGGCTGTAATGTGACAAAATGTGGAAAAGTTCAAGGGGCCGAATACTTTTGCAAGCCACTGTAAACAAGGGGAAGATTAGAGGAGTCGAGACAGCTGGGAACCACAGCAGGAACAAAAAAGACGTAACGAGGTAAGGGACGCAAACTGAACGTAATACACACGAGACAATGGACTATCAAAATAAAACAAACCCGACAGATGCATACAAAACTCAAAACAATTAATAATTTACAAAAATTTAACACTTCAAACATAAAAACAGTGGGTCAAGACTAAGACCATGACAACTCCCACTCACTGGATATTTTCTCTTTTTCAGACCATTCAGAAAAATCCTGTAAATCCCAGAGATGGATGTGTGGGAAAATCCCAGCAGGCAAGCAGTGTCTGAAATAATCAGAACAGCCCATCTGACCATTGTTTCCCCCCTCACATTCGGATAATTGGTTTAAACTTCAGCAGGTTGTCTTGACCATATCTACATGTCAATATCCACTGAGTTGTGTGTGATTTGCTGTTTAGATATTTGCGTTAACAGTCAGTTGAACAGGAATACCTAATAAAGTGGCTGGTGACTGTATGTCTAGCCCCTGATGTGATCTTGTTTCCAGTATGACCATTAATGAAACAGTTTGTCACCCTTAAATCACTGAGTGATTTGTCCTGTACTTATACTGCCTGAAAAGTGAACGTGTTTGTTGTCACCCAGAGACTGTTATTACAACTGTAGTCATGAAAGCACATCAAAAAGCATTTTCACGTTTTCTTTCTGCCTGCTTTGTGCACACATTGTTACGCTTGTTCGCGAGCATGCAGGGGGTGATCATCACACCCCCGTCCCTCTGGTTTCTCTCTTTCTGTCTACGCCTGTTTGTGTGTTCGCATGAGACAACGGGGTTCTGACTGAAAAGGAACAACCTCTGCTCTGATTCCAGGGACACACAGCAGACACCTTTAAAGTTTAGATGGCCAGCCATTTCCCAATGTCTAAGTTATACCCACACACACGCACAGACTCACAAAGTTACACATGAAAGGGAAGAAACTTCCTGTCTAGAAAGATTCGATCTGCAGAACTCTGCTGGATTCTGTTTTACACTCGATTGAGTCTGTGTGCCACCCGAGGATATCTGTGCATTGTTTTCAGCTGTTTTTGCTATATTTGTCTCTTTTTTGCGTTTTGAGATTCCCACCTTATCACCATCATTATCACTGTGCACAACCCACCTGATTAAACAGCAAAGTCCCTTTGGATGTGGCTTTAACAGTGTATCACAGAATGCTCATTTTCAGGTTATCATGCCAGCTTTTCTGTTAGAAACCAGCAGTGTCTCAAAAGTGCAGACAAGGTATCCTTTGACATCAGTGGCTTGCTGAATGAATACTGGATGCTGAGGGTGTTTCACTCGGTGGTTAGTTTTAACTTTTTTAGACAGGAAACATTAGGAAACATTGGTTTGGTCTTGGGATTTGACAAAATGGCACTACCTGACATGCTTGTGATGAGAAACGGCTCGAGCAGTTGTGGTTTGGATTTTCACTGCTTTACAACCAACATTCACTGACAGCTCAGTGACAAATCCCTCCCACAGATGCCATGACCCAGTGTGTCAGGGGACAGACACTGCAGGACACATTGGATACAAATGAGCTACGCCATGCTTTGATAAGAATTTCAACTGCAATATTCATCAACATCAGAGATTCCTGATCTGTTTGCAAGAAAGGTTTGTCAGCAACTTTCCGACCACCTTTTTTTTGTAACTTTAGTCAACTGTAGTGCATGCTGATCCAGACCGCTCTCACTCCCAAGGTGTAACCAGACGTGTTGGCTGATCAGTGTTGGTTACTGGTTAAAAACTGGTTAAAATGATTTACCATTAGAGCAAAAATCCCCAGTTTGATGTTGCTTGCAGGGAGGGTTCATGCAGGGAGGATGTCAGGGTGGAAGGATAAATCGCCAAAACATTGGACAGTCTGTATTTTCTTTTTAATCATGGCCACAATCAATAGTTTTGTTATGTAACAAAATCAATTTGTTATTCAACTGTCCTTTTAAAAAGCAAAGACACATGATGCCGTGGAGGTGATAAAAGCATCGGGTAAGAAAACCCTTCTGTAATAATTGTGACATATTATGTCATTTATTTCAAAATATACTAGTAGAGCGTCTAAATTTCTGCTGAAATCTGGACGAAATATCTTATCGTGAAGGCTGTGTAAAGATCAAAAGCTCCAGAATATGTTCACTGGATTAAATTGATTGTTCTGTCAGTTAAATCAATTTGGCTCAGCTTAAGGAAGATTGTGATCACAGTTAAAAGAAAGCAGTGTTGTTTAGAAGGCAGGATGTGAACACTGGTATTCAATATGATTATATTTAGACCCAACCAAACACCCAAACTTCAATAAGAATTTATTTCTAAATTATAACATTATCTGTCTGTCTGTCCATCCATCCATCCACTTTCTTCAGCAGAAAATGGTGAGCAGTTGAGGTACAGCAAAATGTATTAGTGTGGATGCTGTTTAAGTAATCTTTATTATTATTTTTCTGTTTTATTATGTATTCTGTACGTTTTTTTGACTCTGACTATTTCAACACCGTTCAACTTAGAAAAACCCTTCAACCACCGTTAGATTCCTCTTCTTTAGGACATGTGTGCTTTTATTTTTCTCATTTTTAACATTTATATTTTTTAAATATTCAACTTTATTCAACAAAGATTTATAATGTATTTCAATGGGGAGACCCTTCAAATCCTCATTCAACTTACTC